TTGGGGGGGGGGGGGGGGGGGGGGGGGGGGGAGGCTTGAAAACGCACGCTAGAGACACAAGTTTGTTGGAGGGGGAGTCTTGGGGAGTCCTACCCCAGAAAATTTTGAAATCTAGAGGCACGGAAATGTTATTTTCAACATTCTCAATAAGATCTTTACTGGGCTGCCTGTGGTTCAGCCCAGTTATAAAATGGGCTTGGTTTTTCCTTCTGGCACAAACCACACTCTGGTGTGTTCAGCGCATGCGCAGGATATGAGAGTACACATAGAATAGGTCAGCGGACTTCAGCAGAGTACATTTTATTAGGGAGCTCAAAGCGAATTGAAGCTATAGGTAATCTATCTTTGGTGGAAACATAAGAATGCCAAAAACTTTTTACGAATGTAAACACTGTTGATGGTAAGCCCACAGTAAACACAGTGTTGTATCAACCATCAATAACATTGGAATTATCAATCATATATTTATAGTCTCAGTTCAAACAGTTTAATGAGACCTGTGGGTTGGGGAGGTGTCCGGCATGGGACTGAGTTTAGCGGGATGACTTGTTCCTTTCATACACTGTCAGCTGTCTGTTGTGGTAAACGTTTCGTTTTCATACAAATTATACATTATTTCTATCTAGCCTAGGTTTTATGGCAGCCCAGTATACACCTTCTGGTGTCTAGTTCTTTAAATGACAGGTACTCCTAGTGCTTACAGCATGTACCTTATTCTTAAACAAAAACATTAATTTTTTCCTCTAGAAAATCCCCTTCCCCCCTGCTCCACCATCTCTGCAGACCTTAATAATGGCTTGGGTCAGATTACGTCATCCCTAGGAGTTTTGTAAAGATGTATAGGGGTGTTGCAGATGGGTGCAATCACCAAATGATGTTGGTAATACAAAAGATTTAAAAGACAGTGAACAATTCCCATACTGCAACACAAAAGAGAACCGGCAATGGTTTTCACAACACCAAGAAACATCCAGATTTTGTTATAGCATTTTAAATAGGAAACAAAAAGGGTGGTTTAACTTCACATTTTTTTATGCATACTTTATCATTGGTCTTTGAAGTATTGAAGTATAGTCCACTGAAGTAGCACTATACGCATCATGATTAAATTTACTTTTTTTGCATCTAATCTTAAGTCAAACACAGAAGCTGTGAGTACATGTGGTAGGCTTCTTATTAGTGGTGGAACAAACTGGGACATGATAGGACGAAAAGAGGTCCCAAAATCTGGAGGTAGGTGGATATGAACTAATGTTGGTTCATTCTTCAAGTTGGCAATCTTCCAACTTTATTCTTAATCAAAATAATACAGAACTCTCAAAAAAATTATATTTTCTTAATGTTTTTAAATGCAATAAATTTTACATTGCATGTGTGTATTTACGCTGTATAAGTACTACATGCAATCTTTACTGTTGAGAAGTATTGACTAATGAAGTTGATTAAAATACTTAAAAATCAAGAGGGTAATCCTGGCCTTTCAAAATATAGTGTGTAACTGTGTATTGTCCTGTATTCCAAGTACTGAGGCCTGTTATTAAGAAACCTGGACTTGAATAAACCGTTGCTTGTACAGTGTACATGTAATATTACTGTATCAGAGGATGGTAATTTATGATTACATGGTTGTTCTCGTAGAAAACTTGAAGGAAGCTTAATACTATGAACCTGTGAAATCCAGGGTACCCGAATCATAGGATTTCTTTAAAAAAAAAAACTAAGATTTCATGGCCGCCAAAAAGCAAAAGTATGGCACCAGGGGTAACCATGTGCTGCCAGAGCATGTCACAGCTCTGGTATTTTATTTATTTATTTATTATTATTATTATTATTTTATGAAATACATATAGATTATAACATTGATTACGAGGCATCATTAGGCTGCTAAATTTCCACGGCTGCTGTTACTTTTGATTTTAATACAGCTAATGCAGGAGGGCCTAACTTGTGGGAACCACACAGTATTTCATCATTAAACAACATCAGAGTCCAGCATGTGGCATCAGGACCTAGTGCTTGTCACAGTATTATCATTTGCGAGGATGGAACTATCATGAGTCATTGGTATGTGGTGTATGGTTAATAATTAATTTTTTTGCTAATGTTGATTTAAGATTGCCAACCCAAAAGTGTAGCACATGCTATTGCAAAATCATCATCATCAATGTTGCCATCATCATCATCATCATCATCATCATCGCCAACACCACCATTACCACCACCACCACCACCATCATCATCATCACCA